ATCTAGCCCGATTTGAAAAAGTTTGTGAGTTTTAAAATCATCTTAAATGGATCCCCACCTTGAATTAATTGTCCTCTTCAATCCTATTCTGTATTGCTCTTGACACTTAAAAAGTTTACCTGATTTTGTAATTGTACCCACCCTTTTTAAGAGCGTCTTGAGAAAAGCATCTACAAATGCTGACCTAAGGGATCAAGACAGATACATTGATTTCAGTTAGTTTTTTCAGTCATATTGTCTTCATCCTATGATATGACAGTATGCAATTGAACCATAACTCTCTTTAAGATGAGCATCATTAGATTGCTCTCGTCTTTCTTCTTGCCCTTATCTCTACTGCAATTGGCATTTCATTCATGTATGAGTAGCAGATCTTTCTTCAAATACATTGAAAATGTTTGACATGGTAATAAAAGTTCATCCCTTTAGTTATGGGAGACATCTACGCCTTATGTACAACCCATATGATTTACATGTCAAAATTCAAATCAAGCTCCAATGGAGCAACCGGTTCTTCTGCAAAAAGTCCTATAGGGCCAAGACCACTTGGCTTTTACATGAGTGTACAAGAAAAAAAGGATTTGTGATGAGCTTTAGAGTTTAGAGCTCTAATTCTGTTAAGTTTTAGGCGTCATAAGGCCTTAGGTTCCTTACAAAGTTTAGGAGAACGGGGTTTTGTATGTATCTAGGTCTCCTATAAGTAGTGGAAGTGTCATAAAGGCATAAAAGGGTTGTCACTTGGACTAGGAATATGGGAAGGGCTATGAAAGATTAAGTTAATGTTTAGGGTAATAGCTGAAGGGTATAATAGACGTTAAAGTTGCTCAAATTTAGTTAATGCACCAAGATGAGATTTTGATGGGAAGTATTTGTGGTTGAATGAAGCAAATATAGGGTTTTCAACAAAATTTAAAAGCTATGGAGTTTGGATATATGGACGGATGTTATAATAAGGTAAGATTATTTGAGGTTGACAAAATGAACTAGGGTTTAAGTTAAGACTTGAAACGATGCACAGAAAGGGAAAAGAATAAGGGATTCTCTACAAAGAGACCATCCACCTTTTTACAAGGAGGTCACAACTATTCCCACTCATCAGATGCCAAATTTAATGGTTTAGGTTGAGTTACGAAGTTTGAGATTTTTTTTTTTTTGCAACATTGTGTCTATTCAATGACGCTCTTGTAACCACCTATTTTGAAATTTAAGGGGCAAGAGTGATTGTGACCTCCTTGTACAAAAGATAAATGGTCTTTTTGTTGACTATTCCAAAGAATAAGGGGATGAAGTTTACATGCAAAGAACCTCCAATCCACAAGCTAGCATTTTGGGAATCCTCCTCCCAACAAAAAGAATTATAGGGACTCTCAACATTAGGGAAGAATAACTAACTAGACTTTGTAAAATCACCCTCTCTATGCAAAGAATTGTGCAATATCTTTCATTAAGGTGGCTACTCACAATAATAAAAAACTCAAATTTCATTGCTAAACTTCAGTGAATTAGCTATAGGCCTATTGGGGTATTTGTAGAGGTCTGAATCCCTCTTTATTTGAGAGAGTGTAGGCTGTAAGTTATCTCTACTTTCCTAATTTACCTAGATCTTCCAAATTAGCTTACCATTTCCTTCATAGCTTTAGGAAACTAGTCACCTAAATAGCATGTAAAAAAGTTTTATAATCCTTGAAACAAAATTAAGAAACTAACTTCTAATACCAGATGCTCACAATCTTTTGGGAGGTTGATCTTGTTAAAAGATTGCCAAGTTTCCCTCCCATAGGGTTTATAGGGCTGGAAAGATAGAAAGCTAGGATTCATTAATGGAAAGAAAGATAACCCAACACACTTAAACAAATAAAGTTCACTACAGATTTTCTAGTAATGTTTCAACTAGAGCATGAAGCCCATGTGAGTTACATAAAACCTACAAAGATTAGGATCATATTTCTTGAAGAAGTCTTCAAGCTAAAATTTGGAACATCCGGAACAAAAATCCAAGGGAAAATTTTTTTAACTTTGAAAGGTACTCTAATTCATTTAGAAATTTGTATGATAAAAACATTTACTTTTGATACAAGGAGGTCACAATCATCATTAACTGTTAGGTTTGAAATATGGTGGTTGAAGATGTATCGTTATTTAGCACAAAGTCCAAAATAAAATTTCTCGAATGTTAATGCATGTCTTTCATGTTGACCCTCTTTTGATACGGAAATGCTCCATAAGAAAATTTTACAAAAAATATTATTATACATTTGTGATTTCAGTGGCGATCACGACATGGCTGCTCCATACATTGGTACCTTGGAATGGATAAAAAAGTTGAATTACAGAGAGTTGGAAAGCTGGAGGCCATGGTTTGTGGGGGACCAAATAGCAGGGTATGAATTCATTTCTTGCAAAAGTAGTGTCATGGTAAATAGGCACATTCATGGCATATTGCACACATTAAATAAATTTGGGAGAGCCTGCTGAGTCCCCTACCCCAACTATTATTTCTAATTGAAATACTTTTTAGGTAAAATATTTAGAGTAGATCAGAAGATAGAAGCAAGCCATCTCGCTTTCTCTCTTTATGTAGAAAACCTTAAAATCCTACTCTATAAATTTGGACCATAAATTCCCCCTAAGATTTATTGCTCCAGGGCAATAGCAATATAGGTAGTAATTATAATCTCAAGAAATGAATTTTAATTTTCAGTGAGATTCTCTCAACAATAATTTTCTCCTACCATCCAAAATGGGTTCCTAAATTATCTTTAATACCCCTATCTTCAAAATAAGAACTATTCAAATAAAATGTACTTAAATAGTCAACATTTTGTGAGTAGAATTGGAAGTGAAGGGAAGATGGAGAAATAAAAAAAATAAAAGATATAAGTAAATGAGGAGTTATATACCATCTCTCCGGGTCTGTAAGGGAGTCCACCCTTAAAACATCTCTTCACAAGATCCTAAAATCAGTTCTTCTTATCTTCACACGTTTTTTTCCTAATCTAATAGTTATATATTTATAAATGAAAACAATTATACAGCCTAACTCTTTTCCTAAGAATTCTTAACCACTATCAAATCCTAGCCCTTCATCTTAAAAAAATATACTTCCAATACAATCCCACAAATCTCTACAACTAAAATAATAAAAATAACCCTAAAGAAAACTAGAACCTCAAACCTAAAGTGTAGAAAACAATAAAAAAAAGTATTAAAAAAACTATAACATCATTCTCTTGAGGTTGGAAGAAGCTCGATCTCAAGCTTTTTGAATGCATATCTTTTAGATTCCTATTCAAAAGTTGGTGATAAAATCATACGATTCTCATTGGTACTTTATCTTCTTTTATGAATCAATTAGTCAAACACTTGGTGTGCTATTTGCAGTAAGACTTTGGAATACCAAATTTAATCTTGATTTCTCCTTCAAGGTTAAAGGATGGTTTTCACACATTACTACTAGTGTTTCTTCTTCTTCATAATGAGTTATCAAAATTTGTAGCACTTTTGCGTTGTCAACATCTTTCATGCTGAGATTTACCTCTTCATGTTCTTCTTCTTCCTATTGGAATCTATTAAGCTGATCTTGTAACACTTGCTGCATTATTTTGCCAAGGCCTTATATCAGGTCTTTTTTGGCTTCTCAATTATTTGATCCACATGCTCAATAACTGGACCAGAAATTGTTTGTTACGGCATCATGGTATATGGATCTCAAGGATCGGATACTAACTGATGTACGGAAGATTGATGGAAGATGAAAAAGAAATAAATAAATAAATAAATAAATAGATAATGAGATATTATGCTCTCTCTCTCAGTCGGCAAGGGAGTCGACCCAAAAAGATTTCTTGACTAGATCCCAATGTCAACTCTTCTTCTCTTCAGTCTTTTTTTTTTCCTGTCAATAGTTATATATTTATAAAAGAAAACAACCGTAAAGCCTAACTTCTTCTCTAAAAAGCCCTAAAAACTAGCCCTTCATATTAAATAAATAAATTTTCAATACTAACCTTTAAATCTCTACAACTAAAAGAACAAAAAAACCCTAAAGAAAACTAAAACCACGAACCTAAAATCTAGAAAACTATAAAACATAAATATTAAAAAGACCCATTACATCAAGAGTTTTCCAACATCATTACTAGAATAGTGTACTGTAGGAAAACCACGCACATACATAAGATCACAGGTCAAAATTTCCTAAATAAACTTATCTATGAGGATTTGTTTGACCCAGAATTTGGTATATATACTTTATGGAACCCACTGAAAAATCTCAAAAAAATAAAAATACAAAAAATTTGAAAATGGACTTCTTTAGGAGATATAAAATTTGATGGATGATAGTTGTCTATTTTGTATCTAGCTCTTTATGAACTCAAAAGCAATCTTATTATTTTTAAATTATTCATCTGGCATTGATAAGAACATATGCAGAACATTGTCGCATAAATCGCTTAAAGCCTCAATCTGACTGTTTCTTTCCTGCAATTGTTGGCCATTTTCTTTCTCTGCAGGAAGGCTATTTCGTTCATGTGAGAGAGAGAGAGAGAGAGAGAGAGAGAGAGAGAGAGAGATGTGTTGGATTGCAGTTCTGGAAGCATATGGGAGCTGATTATCTATCTTTTGAATTGCAGGTATACGGTTCAATATGAGCATAATTTGCTATTTGCTACATTCAAGGTATGAAAGATACATTAGAAAGCCAGTTTTCTTTAGTACATCAGAAGACGAATAGAAAAATATTTGGAAAAAATTTATGCAAGTAAAGTTGCACCTCAAAAATCTATTGGTAAAGGTTGTTTTAATGTTGAAAAACCCTCTAATTGATCATTCAACATCTAGATGTATGAATATGAAAAAAGAGAAAAACATGTCCTAGAAGTGGTGCATCTTCCAACACATTTTCATGACCGTCCATTTTTAAGATTTTCATATATTTATAGATCTACTTGATTTTAACCATTTATTGAGTTTAAAATTTTATAATTAGAGATGAAAATAGATTTTCAGATAATCCTAATAATTTTTTTATTCCAAAATTACATGTTATGATAAAATTTGGAGATGCAGCTTAATTGGATTGTTTAAGGTTGCAACCTTATATAAACCGCACCCAAAATATTTTGTCCAATATCATATATTTTCAAGCAAAACATGAGCTATCACTGGTTAACAGGGAGCTGGGCATACTGTTGCGGAATTCACACCTCGCGAAGCACTAGTAGCCTTCAAACGATGGGTTGATGGTGATGAGAACCTCTAAATAAAGTCCCTCATTCTACTCCATTTGGGCTGGTAATTGTAAGCTTTCTGCTGGTTTTATAAATGTGGATAAACATTACATGATAAAACTTCTCCACATTACATGATAAAACTTTATTATCTCAATAGTTCTTTTTTGTTTTTTTTTGGACAACATTACTTGACGTTATTAATCAATCATGGAATACAACATTTCAAGAGATGAGAACATCAGAAATCACAGTAGAGTGCATCGAGGCACTTCTCTTTACTAGATCATCCTCGATGTCGTTTGCCTTCCATACACATTGAAAAGAAACCTGGAAACCCGTACACATCTATAATGTTCATCCATTTTCTTCTCAATCTCCACGGTATTAGATATCATGAAATTTGTCTCCTTCTTAAGACAGTCCTCCTAGTCGACTGTGTGAAGCAAATTATTTGAACGTGGGAGGTGCATGCAACCATGAGTCTTTGGAAATTTCTAGGGAAAATTATGTCCATACCATTAGACTTTTGTGGTGGTAGGGTATAGTCCATTTTTTCCATATTTCTTACAATTTTTATTTTTATTTATTTTTGGTCTATTAGGCCGTCTGAAGGGGTTAGAGGTATATTAGGGATCTTCGGAACATCGGGCTACTCTAAAGTTCACTTTTGTGCTGGCCGATATTGTTAATATTGGAACGCTCTAGAGATCGATTTTTTTTTTTGAAGTTTAGAGCGGTCCGATATTTGAGCCATTGGACTTGCTTTTTGTAGCATCTGTCTCTGCTACTGTCGGGAACATCGAACCGCTCACTATATGTGTGTTATATAATCGAAACATCGGACTGACTCCTAACATACCTCCAAGCTAGTAAACAGCCTTACAAACTAAAAAATAGAAAAATTATAAAGTACTACTGTCTGGAACATCGGACGCTCACGATAGGTGTGTTATGTAATCGAAACATTGAACTGACTCCCAACATACCTCTATGCTGATAAACAGCCTCACAAACTAAAAAAAATAGAAAATAAAAAAAAGGCGGTTTGATTTTGCAAGCATTGTAGGCAAAGTTGAAAAAAAAATGAGAAAATAGGACCTCCTTGTAAAGTATAGGAAAAATTGGACTATACCATAATACCACAAAAATGATACAGCATGGCATAATTTTTGCAAATTTTTTGTGGTAAGTCCAACAAATTTGTCAAACATGCCAAGTTAGAATGCTGAGGAGAGAGTAACATGTTCATCCCCAATTAATTCGTCAACCAATGGTACTAAGCTTAGAAGAGACTACTCATTCAATACGTCACGGCTGAACCCAATTGTAGCTAGTGTAATAGGCTTCCCAAATATGGAAGGTAGATAGTACTGGCAGATCGCCAGATCGCACAGATAGGGGTGTTAACAGGCCTGACGGGCCGCATGGGCTTTCAAGTGTTGGCCCGCTCAGGTTGGGTCCTATTCGGCCTGGGCTCAATTTGGACCAAGCGTGGTTAGGCTAGGAGTATGTTAGGATCGGAATCGGGCTAATCTTGATCCGGCCTGGAAAGGAGAGAAAATTTTGAATTACGGAAACAAGAGGACATAGTAATCATTGAAAGAAACATATTTTCTACATTTGAGAGAGAAAATTCAAGAGAGATCGATCGTTCGGTCTATTTTAGATGGTGATATTTTATCCCAAGAGGATATCGAGTACAAGTATTTTCACTTTTGTGCTCTACGTAAAGAGTCAAGTGATAAGGATAGTGATGGAGGAATTAGATATGGGGAACGCCACTATAGGGTTTTTGTGAGATTCTGGATTTTGATACAAATCGTATTGAAAATCAGCAAGACGTAGATTGATATCTGCCATCAATCTTCGATGCATACTTAGATGAAGAACAAGATCTTGTAGTATAACCAATCTACGATGATGATAAAGAGTTTGTGGTTGAATTGGTATTTAACAAAGAGAAAGATGAAGGACTCAAAGGAAAATTGATAGGTGAAGTTGTTAATTTAGTCGTTAATCTCAAAGATGCACTTGTGGTGTGTTTTAGGGCTGAGTCTAGGCAAATTCAGCAAGGTTACATGACTGAAGTGATGCAATTCAACAAATTTATGTGATTATACAATAATCCTTTCCTCGAGGGTTTCTCTGTTCTAATGTACAATAATTATGTTTTGATTAGTGAAGTAACCCAAGAGTTACATGATCATAGTAACAATATTCGAGTTGAAGAATGTTGTCGAATTAATGCTAAAGTCATCTTAGCACACTTCAAAACTCAAGGAAGACGAGTTTTCTCCAACTAAGGGAGAATGATGAAAGAAAAACTTATTTTTATTTTTTTTCAACTTTAAATGATGTATATTATAGTTTTAGTTGTAGAGTTTATTTCTAAGTTTTTTTTAATTTTTTTAGGAATTTTAAGGTTTTTATATATTTTTGATTTATTTCATGAGTACTATCACAAGTATTATTCACAAATATTATTCATGGCAACTGTTCACAAGGGTAAACATGTCATTACGAATTTTAAGTTTAAGTTAGGATATATGAGTGAAAGGATTATTTGTTTGGAAATTTTTTATACTTGAAACATTAAATTATAATATACAAGAGGAGTGTGGCGCCTTAAGGGAGTCGTAATTCCAAATGATTTTTAAAATTTGAAAAAGAAAAAATGTTAGGCGTTTGGACCCTAGCTTGAGGTATAAAGAAGAAAACTTAGATTTCTTTGAATTATGCTTGTGTTTGGTTTGTTTCTTGTTGATGCTATCTTACCACAAATTTCCTTGCATCACTAAAATAGGCAAGTAATTAGAAACACCTAAACCTTGCCATTTCCTTTGGTTTTAATATTTGACTTACAAACCTAGATTTGTATTTATCGCATGCTTCTTAAGGAAAAATGAACATTAATGTTAGAAAGAAAATCATAGACTGAAAATAGACATTTTTTGTTTTTTGTTTTTTTATATCAATTAGGGGCTCACTAACATTATGATGTGTGCATTTGTAAGGCACATCATTCATCAATTATGGGCGCACTAACATTATCATCTGTTCTTTGTGAGCTCTTTCGCACCTTTCATGCCCTAAAACATGGCTTATATATATATATATATATATATATATATAACGTTAGTATAGTAGTATATGCAACCACACTTACTAAAACATATATTGCTATTGTACTAACCCTAACTTTACGTACACTAATTTCTCTACTCTTACTAATAACTACTAATTAC